TACAGTACCGTGCAAACGTTTTGAGCCACCACTGAACCCTTTGTTTGTTATGACACTTAACACTGACCAGTGACTTATTCAAGCATAAGAAGGCACCTAACTCAAGGGATGAAGCTTTTTGTCTACACATGACAACTTAGCAAAGAAGCGGTTTTAAATTGGACCAAAAACACAATTTGTTTTCATTTCTTTAGAGGAATCTATGAAAAATGCCAATGACACCACAGTTTGACAGACATAACAAAGAATTATTGCACCAACAATGGAATTCCCACAGAACTATAACCCAAAAACTTTGCATATTTCACCATGTTGTGCATTGTGTCCTTAAAGGATTTGAGGAAAGTTGACAAGCAGAGGACAAAAGAAGGAGTGGGAGGGCTAAAAAAACAAACAGTATCTGACAATAATGTCCTTAAGAAAATGAGAAATTGCAGCACAGGCCTGACACAAGACCTGAGAGATACACCTGACCCCAGCCCTTCAGTTAATCCACCTACTGTTTGCTGAAGCCTCATTAGAATTGGTTTAAGTCGAAAAGGCTGCCAAATTACCCATATCGGGACAGAAAAACAAACAATGGAACACTATCAGTCACAGACTGGCCTCCACAAAACCCGACCTCAACATTATTTTCGGAATGTGGGATGATCTTGACAGAGAAGAAATCAAAAGGCAGCCAACAGCCAAAGAAGAGCTTAGGAATACGCTTCACGAAACCTGGACAACTATTCCCAAAGACTGCTCAGAGAAATGCCAAGAAAGCTCGTCTAAGAGAGTTGAGAGAGCGTGGAAAAATAAAGATGGTCACAGCAAATAGTTACTTTTAAGCTCATGAGAGTTGCACAAACTGTTTCCACCTTGTATCCTGTAGTTTTTATTTGTGTTTGTGTAAGTTTAAATAAATTGCTGCACCCTTATCCCATGCAAAACATAAAGAAATGAGGGGTGGCTCGAGACTTTTGCACAGTACTGTATAAACTAATGCAAGACAGCTTAGCTTTCTGAACAAGGTATTTGTGGCAGTGAGGGGAAAAAAACTGAGGTATTCATGAGACTTGCCTAAGGCCACATTGACTGAATATCGGGAACACACTAAACACTGCCGTGAGGCGTTGAGGGAACACGTGTTGTGTTCAAGTGCCACATATGAGAGTCAAACACGGACAGAGAGCACACGGAGCAGCCCCGCCTCGCCAACCACCACTCAAACACGTCCTTAAACTGCCTGCACCCTAATATTGTGGCACAAGTTGTTTCCCCAATTTCTCAATGACCTAACAAAAAAAAAAAAAAAACGACAGAGACAAGCACCTTAGAAAGCAACACCACACTCCGGGCAGGTTTTAATGTCTTTAGGTCCAATAAGACACTGCTCGCTGACTGTCACACAAACAGGCAGAGCAGTCTGAGCTGAAATGCACACAGCAATGCCGTAATGAAGTAAACAGCTCGGCGTGTGCAACACTATCTGTGACTGGGTTGAATGGAAAAGAACGAACGTCAGAATATCCTGGAGTTAGGTAGCGTGTGTGCGTGTAGAGCCGGACCAGGCTGTCTGGCTAGTTGACAGTGCTACGTACAACACAGGGATTGGTCTGTTTAACTAGCTAACCTAGCTACAACTAGCTAACGTCAGTTAGCTGCGTTAGCATGTTACCCTGCCGATGTCCGTTTAGAATGCGGCTGTGGCCGGATATCAACATAACAAAGGTTATAACTGAGAGTGAGAATGGTGTCAACACATAATTATCTGTCTGTAAACATCAACGGGGAACCAAACAAGCGATAAAGGCCATTCAGTTGCTAACGCTAGCTAACTGGGTATCTCTACCATAAAGGCAGACCTCAGAGCGAGATGTTTCAATGAAACGCGACAGAAACATAAGGCTCGGCGAGCCAATGTTCATAACAAACCCGCTTACCGAGCGCCACCTGACAGGCTTTACGCAGCTGGCTGTGCTGGCTCCTCTTCACCTCCTTATCCGAGAGGATTTTCTCCAGCGCCCTGGACAGAAACATGCTCTTGGTTTTGCTGTTTTCTGCCTTCGACTGCGAGTACTGCTGCTGCTGCTGCGGTAGCCGGTGTTGTTGCATCTCTCGATCTTGTTGCCGCTCCTCTCTCAGGCCGTCATCTTCGGCCTGGTCCTGCGAATTAGCAGGTGACAAGGAAAAGCTAACGAAAACCAGGCTATCACAGTCCGTCCAGTAGAGCTGCTACCTCAACTCAGCGCCGCCATGCTGGGTACACGTCACGTCACATCACGTGATTCTCAGCTGTGTGGATTTTGACAACAGCACATCAGGTAATCGCTCAAACCTAGTTAAATAGAGTTATACCAATGGAAAAAAACTATATATTGTTCGAATCCGACATAATAAATTATAAACATTCCGTTTTCAAAGACTTCGAGTTCTGTAACTTAAGTTAAAATACTCATTTTCATGTTGAATATTAAGCTCGCTCACGTCCTGGAATATCCTGCAGATGGCGCCCAAACTCTACAAAGTATTTATATGAATGCTACTCAGTTCATCTACCGCACATACTACCTGAAAAGCAGGTCAGTGGCATCTCCATGATTTTTTTTTTAATTGGAGCGGCACAGGAGGGAACAAGAACCAAGCAGGATGTAACATCAACTGAATTTTTAATAAGTCCTGCTTGCAAATTGGTTAAAAATTCAGTCAGTTGTAACAGTTTTTATTTGTAGACAGACCCCCAGCTTCCATAACCATGATTTAGGCTGCAACAAAATCCAACCACTGACTATTGCTACATATTAGTTTATTTTATATTTTATCCAGTTCTTCCAATCAGCAGTTACAGGTATATATATATAGATAAATAAAAGCATCAATATGAAAATACTGACAGACAATCTTCATTACAAGTCTAAAACATAGAATTTATCTGGCAAGCAACAATCATTGCTCGATCACTTAAAAAATTTCTGACAGAGTAAAACATTTAGCCTGTTTCAAGGTTGCTTTAATACATGTTTTTCTTCCACAGAAATCATAATTCACAGTATGAAAAAAAACCAAAAAACAATAATGGTGTCATGTCTTGCACAGACTCTCCTGTTGCTTCAGCCAGAACCGTAAAATCACCAACTGAAATCATCTCTAATGGACAATAAAAATCTACTGTACCGTGAGATTTATGACCAAAAACAACAATCACAGATAAACAATATATCAGTTATAAAAATAAAGTCATAAAATGTGTACAAAGAAAGAAAAATATGCCGACATCTGATTAGAGAATAAATAAAAATGTTGCTGTGGTTACAATCCCAGTGTCCTGTGGTAAAGGTAGAGGAAATAAATTAACAGTGACTTCTAAAAGCTTTCCATCCAAAGTACGACTCATCGCTGTGCTTTAAGATCGGGAATGAAAGAAGACAAGTCCCACCAGCATGTGCTGTACCATAAAAAGGCCCAAAACACAGTACCTTACACATATAAGTTACAATAAACAAGTGAGTGGTTATACACAACCTGTGTGAAGGTTTCTAGTCAATGATTCACTGTGTAATAAACAATAAACAGAGCTATAAATGATAAACATTAGTGCAGTGGTGTTTCACTGGAAGTGCAGTGTGTGCCAGCCATGATATTGTGGGTGAGATAAAATCCATGCTAAAGTCAGGGTTAAAACTTTTAACAGGAAAAAAAAATCAATGAAAGAAATAATAGACCATCTGCTCTCACTTCAGGGAGGCAGCAGCTTGTAATGGTAATGGTGGATCTATAGTGTGCTTTCAATAAATGTTGTGGATCTGCTTTATGAACAGGAACTGTGAGAGTTACTTCTTGAAACTGAATGGTAGAAAAAAATCAAAGTAAACGGACGTTCATTACAGACAAGAAATCATCCTACTAAAACCACAAAAATGCAGGTCAGGGCCAAGATATTCCGTACACAAGCCAGCCCTGCCTCACCTTTATCAAATACAGAGAGTGAATCAGCTTTTGCCTTGCGTGTGTGTTTGTTTCACCGTGACTCAGTCCTACCAGGGAGTACTTTGGAACAAGGAAGTTTTTCACTTCTGACTATGTGAGCCATTCATTTTAACCCACTCCTTCATGTCAGCCTCTGTCAGTGCGCCCCAGGGTGGCTGTGGCTACAATGTTGCTTGCCATCACCAGTGTGTGAATGTGTGTGTGAATGGGTGGATGACTGGTTGTGTAAAGCGCTTTGGGGTCCTTAAGGACTAGAAAAGCACTATACAAAATACAGGCCATTTACCATTTACCATGTTACAGTCGACATATTCTGGTCCCATTTAGGCCAAAAGTCGATATTTAGTGGCCACTGTAAATACAGTTGTTAAGTTACATTATCTGAAGTGATTAACTGAATTCAATAATAATACAATGAAAAGCAAGACATGTTGCAATGAGACGGCACTGAGATTAGATGTACTGAGTTATGGTCCAAAAAGAAGGAAGAGGGGAACACTATTGCAAACTAAATTAAAAATCCCATTCACATTGTTTCCTCTGTATACATGCAGCAGGGGAAATAGCCCTTGTCGTGATAAGGAAAAGTTCAATATGAATGAAATACAACAGGGAAATTAACTAGAGGATTTCCAATTCCAACAACTTCCAACTGGTCAAATAAAAAACAGCACTGTCACATGTGGGATCCAGGTATTAATAATAATAATAATAATAATAATAATAATAATAATAATAATAA